ATACCATCACTTCCTGGAGATTTATTATTTTTTAGGTGTTTAGTGCATCCCGATAGTAAGTAGTTCTTTATAGTGTACCACCCACCTTTTCAGTACTTCTTCTTTTGTATTGAGTATATGCCCCTTCTTATCCTTACCTGGTTTAAACTCTTTTCTTGCGTTATTTAGATTTTTATACAATTTTTTTGTTAGATTTTTTTTAATGCCTCAAGTTCTTCCAATATTCTATTTTTATAAGTTCGCTTTTTTCTCCGATGAATGTACTTCTCTCCTCTTCTAAAATCTTTATATTTCTGTTCTTTTTCTCGGGTTCTTCTTTGCTGCACCAGTTTATATGCATTGTTCTTTTTTCTTGTAATGTCCTCGCACTCAGCATCGAACCCCTCATTGCGTGGTGGTGGTCTTTGCGGCCATAGAATGTTATTTGCTGCATCTTTAGTATAATTTTTACACATTTCCCATTGTTCACTAATTGTTAGATTCTCTTTAGTCATGTATTTAGTTTCAATATAGTTTTGAAACCTTTCTACAGCTTACGGATTTTTGAGTAGTTCAATATTAAGGCGCCTTGTTTTGCTACTTCTCTCCTCCTTCGCATTTGAGATTGTAGCCCGAATTATTGTACCAACTAGAAATTGATCTGAAATAATATTGGCGCCTCGATAGGTGCGAACATCCATAAGGTTGGAGAAGTGTCTAGCATCTATAACCACATAATCAATTTGGTTGTTCGTTAATCCAACAGGCGAGGTCCAAGTCCCCATATGTATTTTTTTGTGTAGGAAACATCTGCTTCCTACGATCATGTTCTTTGAGGTTGCGAAGGTGACTGCTCGGAGTGCATTCGCAGTAGTATTATTAGGGAGACTATATTTAAAAATATGCGGTAGATATATTTCTTCCCTTCCAATTTTTGCGTTCAGATCACCGATTACTATTTTAATGTCATTTCTGGGAACAATTGTCATAGTTTCTTTCTAATTCATCATAGAAATTGTCTTTTTCTTCGTCTTCCTTGTCCTGTGTTGGGGCATGTACAAATTCACGTCTGGTTCTATGACAACTGTAGTATACATTGTAGTGTGCTTTTTGGATTATGCCATGGCCTGTCCATCGTACTTCTTGTATTGCAGTAATATCAGCATTATATTGTGCTAATATGTCACACAGTCTGCGGATGTTTCCAGGTTCTTTAAGTGTGCGAACGTTCCAGGTAAATACATTAAGATCATTATTTCCATTATTCAGGTCCTTATTTCGTTGCATAGGTCGTCGTCGAGATTTCCGTCGTGGCATTTTTGACTTTCGATTTTGTAACTATGGGATTTTACCGGGTTGGATAGTTAACCCAACGCCAAACCTCCTTTTCGGAGGGATATTTCACCCGCTCTCGTCAGTTTCCATCCGAGTTGGATACCGGGTTTGTATATTGGATACCGTATTTTTTATTCAGATTTTTGAAAATCTTTCTGAAATAAAGTGTTCATTTATTTGTGGCCGTAATCTCCCAATATACCCTATGGGACATAATAATCCCAACCAACATTCCCATTGGGACATATATATCCCACTATTTTTTTGTTTTTTTATGTAAAAATTTGATTTGGTACACATTAAAAACCGTCTATGGTTACCAGTACAAAGAAATAATTAAAGTCGAGATCGTAATAACACAAAAAAAATTGATTCGCACGCGTAGATTCTTCTGTTGATTTTGTAGCTCTATCCGTAATAGAAATAAAAACTCTTTTAAAAAAATTCTATTACCGTGGCGTGTGGATAATTAATATTGTTCTGAAGCTATTTTCTTGTGGCATTTCTCAAAATACAAACAGTAAATTAAACAAATTTTGTTTTTTGTTACATAGTGAAAAATGCTTCTAATAATTTAATTTTATCTGACTCATTTATATTGACAATTCAGACATACATTATACATTTTAAAGTAGACGACTTTAAAATGATATTGCCAATATTGTTGGGTTGCGCTCCTGGGACGACTTTACTTATAAGATAGTTCATTAGATTACATGAAATTAACTTTAACTTGAGAATATCCGTCAGAAAAAATCAGCATGTAATTCGTCTTTAAAAAGACAAACACATGACATGATGACAGTAAAATTCTCCTGTTAGTGATTCCATAGTAAATTATGAGGGAAAACCAAGGAAAAAAACCTCATAATACTATCCCGACATGGTAAGTATTTGTTCGTGCATTTAGTTTACTTTCAATAAACACCAAAAGTCTGATTTTGTATGTTTCGTTATTTAAAAAACATAAATGATGTATCCTCTTTATGTTACTGACTTACTAATACTGGTATTTTCTTATTACTATACTCTGTTTTTTATCCAGAAGGAGTAAACCAAAAAGACAGATTCACACTCAAGAAAGTTACTAGAAAAGTCACCAAATACATCTTCTTTTTTTGTTGATTATCTCGGCCTTGCGGTAATCGAGTAATCAATAATGGACAACCTCACACGTCAATTTTACCTGACTTTGTTTATTTATGTTTGATATAATTTTTAATTTTTAATAATAATAATAAAATAATTTTTTTCAATTTACTTCCAATATATATTAAAATTATTACAATAAAAAAAGGACGTTTTACACATTGGTATCATGTATATATTATATATATATATATATATTATATATATATATATATATATATATATATATATATATATAATTTATTATATACATATTACATTATAATTTATTAATGGTTATTTAATTTAGAGAATGTTTTGCTCGGGAGAGTCAATAATGTTACAGATCTAAGTATGGTTTTTCTCAGAAATTTATCTTTTAATAGTATTGTTTGTTTGTGTTTAAATGACTGCGGACACTAAATCCATTCGCCAATCTTACAATTTGAGGTGTAGTGTGTGTGTGTGTGTGTGTAGAGTAATTGTCTTGATACTTAGCAAAGTCGACGTCATTGTCTTTGCTAAGAGACGCTAATTGTATCCGAACGTCTGCGGTCCCTCCGGTGTGTAATCTTTTAATAGTAGACCATATTCTTATTCTGGTATGATCAATTTCTTGAATCTAGTTTTTTTTTCTTACCAGATGCTTTGTATAAATAAGTGTGTACTTACAATTTCTTTAATGCTGGATTCTTGTTTAATTTTGACAGTGAGTTTGTCGCATTTGTTATCAACAAATAAAATTTACTAAAAAATACTGGATTTCTATAAGATAATCAACAAATGTTACATTCTTGCATAATTTTGCAGTTTTCTTGTGATGATCTACAACCAGGAAGAACAAAACCAACTCTATCATACAATCAAACTAAAACACAACATTACTTTACTAATGTTCTTTTATTGTGATGAAAGCAAAATGGAAATGCTTCTTAACAAGTAATCACTAAATTTAAAAGATAGCTGCCGTTTTTCTTATGATAATTAGATATAAATAACATACATTTATAAATTTATAAACACTAAACCATATTTAGGATAAATATCATCAAAATATCACATTAAATACTATTCGCATATCACTAAGTCAAAGTTATTACAAACAACTTAAAGAGTCGGAAATCGATTTATATATTAAATATTAGAGGAAAATAATAATAATAAATAAATTTCACAAATGCCATTAGTGTCAATATGTCATAATTTAGTGGAGTAAACTTGCTTGCGGTTGGACCAATTGCAAACAAGCATTACAGCGCGGAAAATTTGAATTACTCCTCCTGGTTAAAAAACAGACCATAACTTCCTCTTTCGATATGGGTAACCAGATCCTACTACATTCTGTCGAGGATTTTGCGACACAATTGGCCTCATTTAGCATAATTAGAGCCGCTTCTTTGATTTTTCTTTTTTTACCATCCGTTTCTTTTAGGACTACATTTGAATTATTCCATTGAACCCTATGTTCATTATCCCATGCGTGTTTAATAATATCTAAATGCTATTAAAACATGCTCTAAAATAGTATATTACATAACGAGAGTTGTAAGAAGCTTATTACATGCGAGTAAAAAAGTTGCGCGCGAGCCGCGTAGCGGCGAGCGCAGTAATTTTACAAGCATGTAATAAGCTTACAACTCAAGTTGTGTACTATACTTTTTCTACCATTATTTTCATTTATAAAATAAAAATTAAATTACCACTATATTTACACTGACAGTTTAATAATTTTTAATCTGTCAAAATAACGTCTGTTAATTCGTTTCCATGGTAACTCGACCAACTGACTTAGAGGCTTATGTGATATTACACATTTTTATAAAACTGAAGCGTAATTTTTTTTATTACGTGCTAGTCATTACGTGTCAGTATCTATTATGATGCATTTACTTAGCATCCAAATAGTAGGTAATATACAATTTACTAGTAAGAGAGTAGAAAATAGTATATTACATAACGAGAGTTGTAAGAAGCTTATTACATGTGAGTAAAAAAGTTGCGCGCGAGCCACGTAGCGGCGAGCGCAGTAATTTTACAAGCATGTAATAAGCTTACAACTCAAGTTGTGTACTATACTTTTTCTACCATTATTTTCGTTTATAAAAATAAAAATTAAATTACCACTATATTTACACTGACAGTTTAATAATTTTTAATCTGTCAAAATAACGTCTGTTAATTCGTTTCCATGGTAACTCGACCAACTGACTTACAAGGCTTATGTGATATTACACATTTTTATAAAACTGAAGCGTAATTTTTTTTATTACGTGCTAGTCATTACGTGTCAGTATCTGTTATGATGCATTTACTTAGCATCCAAATAGTAGGTATTAGACAATTTACTAGTAAGAGAGTAGAAAAATACATATACACGTAAGCAATTCAATTCATTTCAATTCAAGCAAGGCTTTAATTAAAAAATTAACAATGACTATTAAGATTAACTAAGTGAAATTTTAAATCGGACTAATTGACAATGGTGCATCTAATAAATTATTTATTACCAAATTTTAATTCTTCTAATTTAGTTAGACACATTGCGGCGTTAAAGTGCATTTTTCTTTACACCTTGGAGAAAACTTGGAGTAAACCCAAAACCTAATTTTGAATTGCGTGATCCAACTGGTAAGTTGTGAAATATTTATATTGTAATTATATCGGACACCTAGTTCAATAGTGCCACAAGTCCAAAATACAATAATTTCGAGAAATGAGCAAAACGTTCTGTAGCAAACGAGTTATGCCTTGTAAATAATTTATTTTTAGAATGACTGGCTTCAAAATTACAATTTAGTTAGCAAATTATACAGTTATTCGCTGGATCTTATTACAATTTATTGAAAATAAAACGTTAATTGTATTTTGATAGTTATGGCGATATTGCATTGTGAAGAAAGTCATTTATAAAACGATAAATAGGAGATACGGCGGCAACATAATAAAAAAAATCAACTAGTTCTTACAAAAAATATTTTTATTATTATTATTACAAGTGTGTATGAACATTTTTTTTTAATTACTATTAACCAAGTCCTTATAAAAATTGTGATGAACAGGTAATATTAAGTTTTTATTGCACAGTTCCAAAAGGTGTTGCTTGGTTTTTGCGGATATCGATGGAGGCTTTATGTACGCCTTTTTTTAAATCGATTACTGCTTCCACAGTTGCTGAACGCCCCCTTGTCGATGCTTTAAAATAGACCTCTTCGAACTCATCGCCATTATAATCTGTTTTATAGAAGAAAGATCCAGGATTGCTTTTGACAACTTTAATAACTTGGATATCATTCCAGACTACCTCTTCATCTTTTGTATTCTTTGTAAAATTTCCTCCAATTTTTAAATTGAGATCTTTAAAGTCATAAAAGTCTTCTGTTGACATTTCTTTTACATTGTAAAGATTTCCCTATTTTTTTGCAGATCTTATGATGACAGGCCATTCTGCAGGAACATAAATGGGACCTGTTTTAAGTATTTTCTTCTTTTGCCTCTCAATAGTTGCGTGCATGGCGTCCCCTTTATTTTGGGTATGTCCCACTGTTAAAAATTTATTTGTGATTGATTTAACATTAATTTTTCCAATTGCATAGAGATAAATGATAACTATAAATTTATTTTTAATTTGCCCAACACAATTGTCGCTATAAAATATAGCGTCTTTATCATTACAATGATTTGAAAGATAATCAAACAGAGATATTTCGTTTGAGCCGCGGCTAGCAATAGCCTCGTGCCAAAAGTAACAGTAACCAGTCGTTTGCAATATCTTAAAAATTGTAAAGTTGAAGCAGTTCAGGCGGCATTTATAGTAGAAGCTTGAAACATCTCCACAAGGTGTAGGAAGGATCGCCTGCAAATCAGCCTTTTTTTGGCTGAAAGAAAGTTATGTTAAACTCAGTTTTGAAAATATGCTCGTAAGTGCATTTTTTAGCCACCGGCCTTCCTTCACTCTCTTCCTGTAGTTTGTAGTAGCGATACATTTGAGCTAAAGTAAGTGAACCATCTATGTATTCCTTTGTAGTTTGTGCTCTAAGATAATGTGATTCTACCCTTTGGAAAGAATTTATGTGTTCTATTATTTTATTTTTCACCGGTCCAGTAACCGTTTCTCGTTTCATAAGAATATACCTGCTCTATGTAATCATCTTGGCGAGGGTCTGTATGTAGTTTTTCTTGATCTTCAAATGTATTTGCGGTATGATTTGATTGCACGGGTAACGCAACCAGAGTAAGCTAAAAAATTACATACATTAAGTAAAACCTCACTGTGATTTTTGTTGAAATACGAACCTCCGTCAACACAAAGGAGATGTCATTCATAACCTCAGAAACCTCTGAATTGTCTCTCAGATTCTCATCATCTTTAAGATAGCTTTGCAAAGCTAGTCCAAGCATTTTTCTTGCCCTTGACATCGTGTTTGATACTAAAGTTAATAATAATATCACTATACACTGTTTTCAGACTTTAAATCAAATAGTTGTACACTAAAAACGTGGATACCTCGTGCATAAATAATTGAGAACTGATAAAATCGTATCACTAATCTAACAATTTTTGCAGTTGTGGCCGTATTGAATTACATCGGTTGTATTGTGGCGGAGTGTATTATCGCCACATCTCCTAGTTATGGCCATATTACATTTCAAAACCCTACAGTGTAATACCGAAATATCTTACTTTATACTTATCCAAGACAATATTTCAGTTAAGGTTGTATTGCATTAGATGGGGATATTATTAGATGGGATATATGCAACCTTTTTAAAGCCTTAACTCAAAATTGGAATTTTTGGAGTTGTGGCAGTATTGAACTAGATGTACGATATATACAAGGTGCATTTGTGAAAACTTTATATTGTTATTATAATATATACAAGGTGTATTTTTTTACTTATTTATTTAAGGATTACAAATACAGCTTATAAAAATTAAAAATCAAAAGTTGGAAAAGGAAAGTACTTTTTGAAGTTTGTAAAAGATTTTAATTCCTAACTGAGCACTGTCGGCTTACAAAGCCATTAAATCCATTACAATATTATACTATTACATGGTATTTCCCTTTTGTGTATCTACCGCACATTTCTTTTCCTTTGCGATTTTGTTTCTTTCACGTACTTCTTGACTTAGAAACTTTGTACATTTGAACAGTTTATGTTCTTCATGGCACACCACACAGGTTGTCTTCTTCTTTACCTGTTGTCTGTGATCAGTTTCTTTCCTTTCTGTTTCCAACATCTCCAATGTCTGGAATCTTCTTTGTAGGATTCTGTGTTGACTTATATATCGGAATGTCTTTTCTTCTTCTTTGGGTGCCGTCTTCTTAGCAAAGGTTGGCGACGACCTCTGCAAAATCTTCTTTATAAGCTGAAGGAAGTTATACCTGTCGTATCTAAATATGTGTTATATAAGACGTTTTACACTTTTTGACAATTTTTGTCCCTACTGTCTTGAATTAATCAGTTTCATATAATCTCCTGGTTTCTGTGTCCCACTTTAACATGCTTATCCTTGCTATAAAAGGGCTCCAGAACTCTGTCATTATACCTAGTCCCCTAATGGCTTCTAAGAGTTCGTGGAGAGTATCATGTAATGTTTTCAGCGCCTTTGCTGACGCTTCTTTTATCTCCGCAGCCTGAAGTATCTTGTCTATTAATATAAATTGATTCATTATTGAATTATCGTACAAATCTTTTTTCAGACAGCAACATTTTTCAGGCAGCACTGTAGTTTGCTTCTGTTGTGTGTAAATGTTTTATTATTCTACTTGCTTCTCTTCGGAGACTTGTTTTTAGATACTGCATTTTTTCCACATTTGGTAGTTGGTTATTTTCATGTACCAAACGTTTAAAAATATACTAGAATATTACACAGGATTCATACCTTCTCTCAAAACAGGGTAACTTCACTTGGGGTAATATAATTTTTTTTCTTGCATCGTTCCGCCTCTTATCTTTTATTTTCTTTTATGATCGACAGCACCCTTCGTTTCATTATATAAAATAGTTTTATTTCACCTTCTTCTAGTGCATCCTGTTCATTGTCCACAGTTATTTCCAATATTAAAGCATCATTTTTGTGCATCTTCTTTTAAATCCTTTTGTATATCTTCATCATTTTCGTCGTCTTTCAATAAATGATGAAGTTTTTCCATCCTAGTTACTACTTCTCTAATTTTTATGGAAGACTTGTATGAATTTTTAATAAATTTCTCTAAAGTCTTTTTCGTTTAACAATCGTAAAATAGTTTCGAAACACAATTCAGATTTCTGCTTTATAATCTGAGCCTTCTAAGAATTGCAAGGCAAACAGACGTTGATAAAAGATGTTAAAAGAGACATGGGGAATCTAAAATTTGCATTCCACGACATGTCTTTTACAACTAAGCAGAAATCCTTAGCGAATTGTGCTTCTTGTACTCCCACAGAGTAAATCCGAATAAAATGAGAAAAGGCAGCAAATATTTGATTTCACGCAAACAAATCCTATGTATCTCTTGATACGTATTTCGACCTAATAGGTCTCGTCAGAAGAGCTATTCATAGGGGTTCTCAACGTGAAAAATCAATATTTTCTGCCTTTTAAGAAGCAACAATAACATGGCTTCGGTACGGACGCACTAGCGACATCTAATTTAACAATCGTAAAATAGTTTCGAAACACAATTCAGATTTCTGCTTTATAATCTGAGCCTTCTAAGAATTGCAAGGCAAACAGACGTTGATAAAAGATGTTAAAAGAGACATGGGGAATCTAAAATTTGCATTCCACGACATGTCTTTTACAACTAAGCAGAAATCCTTAGCGAATTGTGCTTCTTGTACTCCCACAGAGTAAATCCGAATAAAATGAGAAAAGGCAGCAAATATTTGATTTCACGCAAACAAATCCTATGTATCTCTTGATACGTATTTCGACCTAATAGGTCTCGTCAGAAGAGCTATTCATAGGGGTTCTCAACGTGAAAAATCAATATTTTCTGCCTTTTAAGAAGCAACAATAACATGGCTTCGGTACGGACGCACTAGCGACATCTAATTTAACAATCGTAAAATAGTTTCGAAACACAATTCAGATTTCTGCTTTATAATCTGAGCCTTCTAAGAATTGCAAGGCAAACAGACGTTGATAAAAGATGTTAAAAGAGACATGGGGAATCTAAAATTTGCATTCCACGACATGTCTTTTACAACTAAGCAGAAATCCTTAGCGAATTGTGCTTCTTGTACTCCCACAGAGTAAATCCGAATAAAATGAGAAAAGGCAGCAAATATTTGATTTCACGCAAACAAATCCTATGTATCTCTTGATACGTATTTCGACCTAATAGGTCTCGTCAGAAGAGCTATTCATAGGGGTTCTCAACGTGAAAAATCAATATTTTCTGCCTTTTAAGAAGCAACAATAACATGGCTTCGGTACGGACGCACTAGCGACATCTAATTTAACAATCGTAAAATAGTTTCGAAACACAATTCAGATTTCTGCTTTATAATCTGAGCCTTCTAAGAATTGCAAGGCAAACAGACGTTGATAAAAGATGTTAAAAGAGACATGGGGAATCTAAAATTTGCATTCCACGACATGTCTTTTACAACTAAGCAGAAATCCTTAGCGAATTGTGCTT